TTGTAGCCCCTTTCTTCGAGTAGGATTGTGATTTGATGCCAATTTTCTAGAGCCATCTGATTGATGAAGACCTTTGGTGACTCTGTTTCCTTGTTGACATTTGGTTAAATGCAGTAATTTATCATCAATGCTACAACATAACTTCTGTACGTTCCCTACCCCAGATACCAGCGTCTTTTATTTATACATTAGTCATTTTGATGGAAGGCAAATTCCATAAAGTGAACTGCAACAGAGACATGTAAATAAAGGCCAAAAATATAATCACTATATATGTCAAACCTTTACATGTGTGGAACAATAACATTCTTGCAGGAAATCTACCAAAATGACAGATTCAATAAAATGTTCCTTTTTCCAATCTGATTTTTACTAACCTTTTTATTAACTTTGTAGCTTTCTTGACAAATTTGAACATACAGAAGTAAAAAATCCATTCTATGCCATGAACACAATAATACTTCGAAAATGGCCATTATCTCAAATATTTCAGGCTACATCATCATTGTTTGACCTTTCTATCATGGCTTTAACAGTGTCATCTGAGCTCTGCAATAGTCCTCTTGTATCTGAGTCAGAAGGCTATTGGTTCAAGCCCCACTCCAGGACTTGAGCACACATCATCAAAGTTGATACTTCTGTTCTGTGCTGTGGGCGCATGGTATTGTCAGAATGTCTGCCTCTCAGACTATGATGTGAAACCAATCTGTTTGTTCAGAGCGGCCGTGTGATATGGCACTTTCTTGCTTTGAAGCAAAGCACAGCACAGCTACCCATGTATTCATTCATCTCTGAACCAACATCACCAAAATGCATTTACTGCAATTCAGCTCATTGCTGTTTGTGGAGAGCTTGCTGTGTGCAATTCGATTGCTATGTTCCCCTGCTTAACTATACTTCAAAAATAATTAATTGGCTGGGAAGCATCTCTTCTTTAAGTTCCACATGCTAGCTGGGAATAAGACTATATGATGTGAGGGCAGAAGTAGACCATTCAGTCTGATGCACCATTCAACTGAGATCGTGGGTGATCTGATAATCCTCAGATCAACGTTTCTACCTTTTCCAATAACCCATGACTCCCTCCCTGAATAAAAGTCTATATCGGTCTTGAATATACTTAATGACCCATTCTCAACTGCCCTCTGAGAGAAGGATTTCCTCCACATTCTCTGTCTTAAATGTGCAATTCTTTATTCTGAAATTTTGCTTTCAGGTTTTAGGCTCTCCACAAGGTGAAAGACCCTTTCCACACCTGTCAAGTCCCCTAAGAATCTTACATGTTTGAATAAGATCACCTCATTCTTCTAAATTCCAGTGAATAGAGGCTTCACCTACTTCTCATAAGACAGTTTCTCCTGCCTGGTATCAGTCTAGTGAACTATCATTGGACTGTCTTCATTCCCTTTTCTCGTTTTTTTTGGACAAATGGCCCAAAACCGTTTGCAGTATTCCAGCTGTGGTCCAACTGGTGCCTTGTGTAGTTTCAGTGAAATTTTCCTTCTTTTACACTCCATTCCCTTTGAAATGGAGGTCAACATTCCAATTGCCTTCCCTAATACCCATTGAACTTAAATGCTACTCTCTTGTGATTCATGGATGAGGACTTCCGAATCCTCTGTTCTGTAGCTTACTCTATTTAAATAATATTCAGATCCTCTCTTCTTACTACCAAAGTGCATAACCTTACAATGTCTCACACTACATTCCATCTGCCAAGTTTTTGGCTACTCGCTTAACCTGTTTGCAGACATTTTCTGTCATCCTCACCACTTGTCTTCATACCTACTTTTGTGTCATCTGCATATAGTAGTTATCCCATTTATTTTATCTGGAAGGTCAGATCCAGTCGGGTACTTTTTTAGCCCTAAGTTATTCATGCCACTGTGAGATTGATATTGTTGGGATAGATTTGGTCATGCATTTCATCTTCAGGAATTTAAACCAACTTAGTAGATGCCTGGGAAAGCACAATTACATAAGCACTACTCCCTCTCACTGCTTTGTACAAATTGATCATAGTTGCTCCGAATTTCTCTCTTGCCAAAGGCAAGAAAAATGAAAAGCACAGAACGCTGGAAAAATGTAAGATGCAAGAATGAAAATAATCACTATCTAAAAAGTTCAAGAGAAACTATTGGTAAATTAATAAGGCCACGCAAAAGTACAGAAGGAAGGACGAGGGCATAGAAACAAAAAAAACGACAAACTGAAGTAAGGAAAACATGGTTTAAATATGCATGAGAAACAAATCAAAAGAACTACAATGTTGAAAGAAAAATTTGCGGGTAAACATAAGGGAAAGAAATTAATCAGATTTAAGGATTTCAGATGAAGATAAAGGTTATTCAACACAACATGTTATAGAGTCATAGAGCTGTACAGCATGGAAACAGACCCATTGGTCCAATTCGTCTATGCCGACCAGATGTCCTAAATTAATCTAGTCCCATTTGCCAGCATTTGGCCCATATCCCTCTAAACCCTTCCTATCCACATACCCATCCAAATGCCTTTTAAATGTTATAATTGTAACAGCCTCCATCACTTCCTCTGGCAGCTCATTTCATATACGCACCACTCTCTGCGTGAAAAAGATGCCCCTTAGATCCCTTTTAAATCTTTCCCCTCTGAACTTAAACCTAGGCCTCTAGGTTTGGACTCTGCCACCTGGGGGAAAAGACCTTGGCTATTCACCCTCTCTGTGCCCCTCATGATTTTATAAACCTCTATAAGGTCACCCCTCAGCCTCTAACGCTCCAGGGAAAATAGTCCTAGCCCATTCAGCCTCTCCCTGTAGCTCAAACCTTCCAAACCTGGCAACATCTTTGTAAATCTTTCTGAACCCTTTCAAGTTTCAAAACATCCTTCCCATCTCAGTGAGACCAAAATTGAATGCAGTATTCCAAAAGTGGCCGAACTAAAGTCCTCATAGTAAGAACTGCTGATGCTGGAGTCAGAGATAACACAGTGTGGAGCTGGAGGAACACAGCAGGCCAGGCAGCATCACAGGAACAGGAAAGCTGACATTTCGGGTCAGGATCCTTCTTCAGAAATCTTTCTGAGCCCTTCTTCTTCTGAAGAAGGGTCCCGACCCGAAACATAAGCTTTCCGGCTCCTCTGATGCTGTCTGGCCTGCTGTGTTCCTCCAGCTCCGCACTGTGTTATCTGAGGCACTACCTATATGTGATTTGTTCTTTCTTTTGCAATACCTTTTTATACTTCACTCACCTTCCTTGGTCATGTATTCTTCCACCTAATGCCCTTTGCATGTTGTCGTTCCAAGTGACTTCTCTTACTGTTAACCTCTTAATTTTTTTTCAGCTTTGAACTTTTACCATCCTGAACAATTTGCCTGGATCAATACTCAGAATGCCGTTTGCAGTCCCAGAAATGTCAATCTAACATCCTTGAAGTCCCCTCTTTTTGACAAATTGCTGCTCATTAGTGTAGATTTCTTTTCACAGAGAAATTTGATTTCTCTTGCATCAGAGTAAATAAGAACAGGAGGTGCTAGAGACAGCAATAAGGGAAATGATTCCTGATAGAAAGGATGGAGTGAGGGAAAGAGTGAGGGAAGGAAAGGACAAACTTGCTTCTGAGACAGTAGAACATTTCTATGAAATTTCTCAGCAAAAGAATTTATTTGAAATGCAATTTGCGTTGTTATGGTAACAAAGGTGGCAGCCATTTTACACAAAATTGCAAAGTAAACAACACCCACTAACAAAGATAAGTGCAAATGAAGAAAAAGAAAGGAAGAAACGAAAGCAAAGACACACCAAAAGACAAATAAGACTGGATAGCAAACATGACAATCCTGTGAAGAGAGACTGGGCAAACTGAGCCTGAATTCTTTGGAGTTTCAAAGAATGAGAAGCAATCTAATTGAATCTACAAAAGAAAGGGACAGACAAAGTAGATGCAAGTAAAATGTTTCCCCTCTTTGGTGAGTCTGGAACCGGGGGCACACTTTAAAAGTAAAGGGGATACCATTTACGTCCAACATCTGGAGAATTATTTAATTCAGAGGTTTGGAATTGTCTACCATAGAGAGGTGTAGAGATTCACGCTTTCAGTATGTTTAAGGTAGAGATTGTTAAATTTCTGATTGCCGGTGGCATGCATGGTTACGAGGACAGGGTAGGTTAAAGGCATTGAAGTGTCTGTTCAGCCACAATTGTATTGAATGGCAGGGCAAGTTCAATGGGTTGAATGGCCAACTCCTGTTCCAACGGCATTGAAGAATCATTTTGATGTTGGGAAGGGCAAGTCATAAAGTGTTGTTTCAAGATGGCGCCAAACAGTTGGGACACTTTGGATTTAACACGCATAAAAACAGGAGTAGTTTTACATGCATGCGACAATAAAGCTTAATCTAAATGTTGCTTATTGTTTAATTTTGCCAATACAATAGTATAATTTCACACGTAGATAACACCTCTCCAGATCATATTTGTTTAAGTCTTTATTCATTCTACAAGGAATGACACCTCCGTAACATTTTCATGGCCTAAAATTAAAATCTTTCAGAGGTTTGGCAGGATTTAAGGTCTGAAAAGTGACACTTTGTTTTGTCCACTATCATGTTGAAACTCTTTTAAGAGTTCCCGTTATGCAAACAATTCCAAAAATACAAAGTCAGGGAAGCATTACTAATTCCTAGAGCCTATCAGTTGTGAATATAAATTCCGATGTTATATAAAAATTTCAATGTCAAGTGAGCTGTTCAAACATGTTAAAACTGTTCTGTTAAAATGTTAAAAGCTTTAACTATAGTTATCACTTGATAAAAAGATGAAACACCTACTACAGCAAACCAATCACATTTTTAATATTCTGACAACGAACCGCACTCTTATTAAAATCATGCTTCTAATAACCAGGGATCATGGTTTTATTTGTTATGTGTCACTGTTCACATATACGCTGCACCCATTCCCTGTAGTCATTGAACTTCTGTTTACAAATGCAGTCTTGAGCAGATTGTCAAGCTAGGAATGGTACTGCCTAATAAGTCAGATAAAGTAGAACGTGGTATTGCAGGTAAACCCTTTGCTGAAAATGTGTGTAGAATCTTTATACATAAAACGTGAATGATATCTGGTCTATATTGAATAATAGTTAAGGAGGCAGATAAATTCTTGTCAGGAAAGGGAATCAAAAGGTTTTGGGAATAGATGGAACGTGGGATTCTTGACACCATCAGATCTTAAAGAATAGCAGGGCAGGCTTGATGGGACAAATGGCCTACTTCTGCTCCCAATTTGTACGTTCAAGCAGAATCATACTGGACTCGAAAAGTTAACTCTGTTTCTCTCTCCACAGATGCTGCTAGACCTGCTGAGTTTCTCCGACATTCTCTGTGGTTGTTTCAGATTCCTCGTATCGGCAGTAGTTTGCTTCCATATGTTTGTTTGTATGTTTTGCTAGGACTCGATGTGATGTGTCTGAGAGAGATAACTGATAGGAATAACTGGGGAACAAGGAGAATGTAAAAATAAAATCTGTGTCTGCATTGTTTCTCAAGGAACTCTAAATGCTTTTAAATTTGTTAGGGAAATAAGTGCCAAAGGAATTGTTTCCTTTCATTGGCATTGATCAAGGGGAGTAATGTTGAGCAGGAGGGCAGCACAACTTCTCTACTTTCTTTGAAGGAAGCTTTGGAAACTTCAATATCTTCCTGAACAAGTAAATGCTAGTTTAATAACATCTCAAGGAACAGGACCTCTGATAATGCATTACTTCTTTAATGTTGATCGGAAATACCAGCAAAGATTACATTGCCAAGACTCAGAACAGAAATTGAATTGACA